TGAAGCCTGATGAACTATCACCTCCTCAGCCTGAGTGAATGCAAATCCCCACCTCCCATCTCTTCAGAGACTGCCCTAGCCACAAGGCTTTTTGTTGAAGCAATGCCATTTTTGTGCAGCCAGGAATGTGGGATTTGTTTGGTCTGCTAAATAAAATTGCAAAGGGGAGTCTATTTCTGTAATCTAATAGGCAAAACACTCTGTTGGAGAGGAGGGGAAGCAAAAATAGTTCTTTCCCGAGGGCCCGCTTAGATTATGCATTTTCCATCTAACAGTCATAGGATAAAATTTATCAGGAATACTGGAAGGAAAAACTGAAGCACAGGAACTTTCCTCTTTCCACCATGGGCACATCTCATTATCAGCCTCCTTTCTTTATTTTTTAATTTCTGCTGACAGATTTTATGTTATTTTCTGCAGGAGTCATTGCTTTAAAACGTGGGTGTAGTGTTGGCATGCAAGGACCCAACAGATGGTGAATGAGGCATGCTTAGGGGAGAAAGGGGGAGCCTATGCTCCATATTCAAAGCAAGGTCTTGACTGCCTGCACTCATGTGGCAGGTACCCAGAGGTGCCTCACGCAAGACTGGAGAGAAGCATCAAAGCCTAGAGAGACACAGGCTTCAAAAATACATGTCTCCTCAGCACTTCCTAGCCGTTGGCTTAGATAACCTCCTGATGCAGATGAATACTCACTTCAACCGACTGTAAATATTGTTTGTGCTGATAAATTTCACCCCTGGAGTGTCTTTACGAGCTTCACCTGCAGAGAAGCAGCAAACTCATACTGGCTTTGATCTTCCTTACGGCTTTTGGGAAATAAAGTATCCCAAATTAACTGCTCAAATCTGTTGCCGAGAGAACTAAAAATAACGTTAAAAATTTTAGACTCCATAAAAATGGCCTAGGAATGCCTAGTTTAGAGTGAATTTCATGCTGGCATGAAGTTTCAAACTGGCATTCCTAAAGAGTACAGTTCTGTTAATCCACAGAACAGGCAGATCCTTGGTTAGAGGCAATTTCTTCTTGTTTGCCTTATCCTACAGTAGTGGTATAAGCTAGAAAGTGCTATTACAAATGACAGTTAGAATCCAAAATTCAAACTCAGAGCTGCAGGCATGTTCTGAAATGTGTGCAAGCCTTCTGAGTTTTGTATAAATTCCCATGAAGCTCATGAGGCTCACAAAGCCTCAGAATACTTTACATGAAGGAACTGCTCCTCTCCTACAATATTTGCTATGTATCTACAAATAAAGCTGTTTGGCCCTTTTACGATTTAAAACTAATTTGATTTTTTCCCCATTACTTCTTCCTACAAAAATACCTAGGCCACAAAAAAAGTAATCACCTACCCACTGCTTGCTGCACTGGAGTACCCATGGAATAAAACCTGTTCAGCTCTACCCTTGCAGAGCCAAGAATGAGGTATCATATCTGCCCTTCTGGGCTTTGTCCCTCTGAGCTTAGAAAATTTTGGGCATCTGGAGCTGCTAATTCAGCTCTGATTTTAGCTGTGAGACAGCACAGAGAGAGCACTAGTGTGCTGCGGGGCTGGGGCCAGAGTGTTTGGGCACAAGTATGCTTCACCCATAGGATAGCATATTCAAAAATTTTATGCATATTATTCATATTACATTTATTAGGTGTGGATTTGAGACATTTCCATAACACCTTGAGAAAAAAAAATCAGATTCTAATTGAATGAGACTGTACAGTTACATGTGTTTAAATATATTTCTATTTTACACATTACAACTGTGCAATGTTTTCACATGTAAGGCATTTCCACCCTTCTTATAACTTTTTTTTAAGAATTCTTTTGTTTGTTTGGTATTTGGCAAAAAGTAAAAGGACAAGTGTGTGTGTGTGTATGTGTGTACCCACATGCATATGAGAAAAAGAGAAAGCAACTACAAGAGACAGACTTAGAAAACACATGTCTTCATAGCTACAGGTCTCAATTTAATCTCATAGCCAGTCTTTCCTCCAATATATTTATAGAATTGTAACAATGTGCTTTTTTATGGTGCAAAAAAAGATATTAATTCCAGCATTGTTTAAGTGGGAGGCAATGAATTATATTCTGGTTTCAATTAGGAAAGATATATAAACAGGTTTTATTAGAAGTTGCTGATAGGAATAAAAGAATGTGATATTGATGGACACAAGGGACACAGACCTATTCCTCTTCAACCATTGGAAAAAAACTTCCCTTGGCTTCAGGCTTGCAGGATCAAACACGCCTTTAGGTCACGAACAGGTTTAGCAGACATGTTAAAATGGCTTCAGTTTCTGAGTACTGATGGCTCCATCCCCAGGAATCTGGATCTCACTGCCATTACCCACAGTCAATGGTAGCCAAAGGCCTGAATTTCTGCTTTAAGAAAGGTTGAAGCCTTGCCATAAATACTTTCCAGAAAATGGCAGTTATTATGGCAACAGCGTTCCCATTGCTCTAGTTAAGGTTGTGTCAGCATTTAAATTATAAACCCCTGTTTTCAGGGGTTTACATCTTGGCTATAAACATTTGCCGAGAGATGAAAATTGGCGTTCACTGCCCTGAAGCCATTTTTTTAATAATAAAGCTTGAAAAAAGTCAGGCTGGGATTTTTATACCGCAAGAGGGGAAAAATTGGAGGCTTGTTGCGGGCAGTGAGGTGCATTTGTACATATATATATGTATGTATAGACTGAGACGGAGGGCGGGTATATTCCTAAATCTGCTCTGCATTTTTTAATTAAATTTTGTAGGTCACTGAGAGATGTGTTAGGTTTTTTTTTAAATGCATTTGTATAAGGATATTAAAATCAAAATGAGAACATTGGAGTTACTATAGATTTATTATAGCTGCCTGAGCTTCATAAGTACATAGCAATGTACACCAAAAATAGGCCACCTCTAGCATGTGAGCATTTTTGTCCTTAGTAAAAAGATTGTCATATTTTACCTTACCTATGTGCCCCTTGGAGGAATAGTCCTTTTTTAAGATGTGGAAAAGCAGGACTGTTTACCTGTAACTACTCTTTCTCAAGATGCCTTATATAACATTCCCACTTTGCATGTTCACACATGTAAACACTGCTTGCCAAATGAATGCTACTCCTACTCCAGCAGCAGCATTCAGAGCTACATGCTCAAGCCTCTGTGTGCTGTCCCCTTGTTTAGAAATGGGTGGTGTTCATTGTTCTTCCTGAGTTTCTTCACTCTCAAAATCCTTTGAAATCCCTCTCACTCTTGGAGACAGGGTTTTTGAGTAAGTCCATATTTCATATTTTTATTTATACATATATGTATATGTATAAATGAAACAATCTTGAAGAAGTTGCTTATGAATAACTTTCTTCCTCAGTGAAAGTTTTGAAAGGAATTACTTCAGTACTCTTAAGACCAGGAGGATCGTTACTGCCTTATGTTATGGATACCAAAGAAAATAAGAACTCGTGAGAAGTTATGCATCAGCCACCCTAACTAGAATTAGAAACAGGTCCAAAAATCTGTCTTTAAGCAGGCAATTTCTGGACTAATACTGGAACTTCCTCTTGATGTTTATATCAGAGAAGTTGATTTTGAAGTACTCCCAGGCTTGGAAGACCTAGAGGTCTCCTCATTCTTTCCAGCTATGACTGGTAACTTCAGAATGCCTGAGCGCATTCACCAGGATGGTTAATGGTGGAAGACCAAGGCTTCTGATGTACCTTATGTATATCCATATATTCTGCAATGGAAATGCATCTTGCCCATCCAAGTTACTGATCCTGCAGTGTGGTAGTGGAGAGTTATGACTTTCTATAGATAATTGCCATTGAACACAGGGAAAAAAAAATCTGGCATTCATTTTCACATTGTTGAGCTCTAACATATTGATGTGTAATCTTCACATGAATTCGCAGGCTTTGAGCTGTCAGAAACTCACGGAAGTGTATCCCATCTAAGCACTAAAGACTATATTATAGAATAGTGAGTGAAGGTGGAAGTGCACCAAGTGCCTACAGCCAACAGCAGCCTTGGAGCCCCCACAAACTTGATCTAACTTTGGTTTAGATAAACAGTTCTGCAAGATCTCAGAAACCCTAAAAAATTCAGGGTCTACATCTTTACATCTTCTTTTTCTCCTTTCCTTTCCTTTCCTTTCCTTTCCTTTCCTTTCCTTTCCTTTCCTTTCCTTTCCTTTCCTTTCCTTTCCTTTCCTTTCCTTTCCTTTCCTTTCCTTTCCTTTCTCCTTTCCCTTCCTTTCTCCTTTCCCTTCCTTTCTCCTTTCCCTTCCTTTCTCCTTTCCCTTCCTTTCTCCTTTCCCTTCCTTTCTCCTTTCCCTTCCTTTCTCCTTTCCCTTCCTTTCTCCTTTCCCTTCCTTTCTCCTTTCCCTTCCTTTCTCCTTTCCCTTCCTTTCTCCTTTCCCTTCCTTTCTCCTTTCCCTTCCTTTCTCCTTTCCCTTCCTTTCTCCTTTCCCTTCCTTTCTCCTTTCCCTTCCTTTCTCCTTTCCCTTCCTTTCTCCTTTCCCTTCCTTTCTCCTTTCCCTTCCTTTCTCCTTTCCCTTCCTTTCTCCTTTCCCTTCCTTTCTCCTTTCCCTTCCTTTCTCCTTTCCCTTCCTTTCTCCTTTCCCTTCCTTTCTCCTTTCCCTTCCTTTCTCCTTTCCCTTCCTTTCTCCTTTCCCTTCCTTTCTCCTTTCCCTTCCTTTCTCCTTTCCCTTCCTTTCTCCTTTCCCTTCCTTTCTCCTTTCCCTTCCTTTCTCCTTTCCCTTCCTTTCTCCTTTCCCTTCCTTTCTCCTTTCCCTTCCTTTCTCCTTTCCCTTCCTTTCTCCTTTCCCTTCCTTTCTCCTTTCCCTTCCTTTCTCCTTCCTTTCCTTTGCTTTTTCCTTTCCTTTTTCCTTTCCTTTCCTTTCCTTCTCCCCTCCCCTCCCCTCCTCTCCAGTCCCCTCATCTTTCCATTTCACAGAATCACATGATAGTTGAGGTTGGAAGGAACTTCTGGACATGATGTAGTCCAACTGCCCTTTTCAAGCAGGGTCACCTAGAGTGTGTTGTGCAGGGTTGTGTCCAGATGGCTTGTGAATATCTCCAAGGGAGGAGATTCCACAGCTTCTCTGGGCAACCTGTTCCAGTGCTCAGTCACTGTCACTGTAAAGAAACTTTTCCTCATGTTCAGATGGAACTTCCTGTGTTTCAGGGCCGGCCACTACTGGAATCTCTTTACACCCTCCCCTCAGACACTCATTGATAAGATCTCCCCTTCAGGCTGAACAGTCCCAGTTCTCTCAGCCTCATATGAGAGATTCTCCAGTCTCTTCATCCTTTTCATAATCCTTCTTAGCTTATTGTAGTTTACTCTCCTCTCTGTGTCCTCTCATTTCGCTTTAGTCCTTTATGCTTCTTTTCATTGATACACTACAGTTTAACACAATATACATGCACTGGAAAAAAAAATCATTTCGCTTTAGTCCTTTATGCTTCTTTTCATTGATACACTACAGTTTAACACAATATATAACCAATTTACTATTAAATACTAAGCAAGCTGGGCCTGTTTAGTCTGGAGAAGAAAAGACTGAGAGGAGATTTGATCAACATGTTCAAGTACCTGAGGGGTGATTCTAGGGACAATGGGGCCGGCCTCTTCTCCGTGGTGGCTGGTGATAGGATAAGAGGTAACGGGTGTAAGTTGAAACATAGGAAGTTTCATCTCCATATGTGGAAGAACTTCTTTCCTGTGAGGGTGACAGAGCCCTGGAACAGGCTGCCCAGAGAGGTTGTGGAGTCTCCTTCTCTGGAGGTCTTAAAAAACTGCCTGGATGCCACCCTGTGCCACGTGCTCTAGGTGTCTCTGCTTGTGCAGGGTGGTTGGACTAGATGATCTCTAGAGGTCCCTTTCAACCTTAGGCATTCTGTTATTCTGTGATTCTATAAATGCAAATTAGAACAAAATATCTATTTCACTTCTGATTAAAAGAAATTATTTTTGACTAAAAGTGTCAGATTCAAATCTATTGCTTTATTCTAGGTATTTAATTTTTAATGACTATCTTCAGACTTATGGATCTGATTTGGCCTGCTTGGTTATTTTAGACCTATAAATATTACCTATTACTATTTTTCTTTGAAATGGACACAAATACACTCCTAATCTGGAACTATATTTCTGGAAAAAAAAAAATGTACCGTGAAATTTTGCAACTTCTTCATCCTTAATAATTTTCAGAGTCTAGAAAGCTCGATATCGAGTGCCAGCTCATTATAAGATATTATTAGCAAGCAGGATAATTGTTTGAACTCTTCCATAACATGACTACGTATTTCAGTGCATATATTAATGAATAAGCCATTATTTAAATGGCAATACATCTCTCACTATTATAAGTAATAAGCTTCTTAGTACATAAATCCAGATAAATCCCTATAATGTAATGTATGGCACATTATTTCATTTAGTTAATGAAAGAACAAGCAGCAGCTAACAAATGGAAGGTTTTTCTTTCTTGCTTGCTTTTTTTCTTGTTGGCTGCTGCTTTTTTTTTTTTTTCCTAGAACTATGGAGATTTCCTGTTTATTTTTTCCTGTCAGCAAAAGGAAGTCAAGTCAAAAACAAGTGAGAATGTCTTGTGAGATGCAGAGCAATGGTAGTGGCTAAAAGTGGATAAAAGGACAAAAAAGAACACAGAGGAAGGGTGAATCCTCTAGAGGTTTTCAGAACTTGTCCAGGTAAAAAAAAAAAAAAAGATGAAATTCTGAGTAGATTAAAAAGCAGAGCCTAAAATACCTTTTTTTCCTGGAGTATCTTTTATAATCTAGTAGTAAGTGATCACCTAAAGAGATAAGCAAAATCCTGTGTGAACTTGAGTTTAAATAAGACAGGAAGGGCTGAGAACAAATGGAAATCATAGCAGATTTGCAAAGTCAGAACAGCAAGCTGTTGGTCAAGTAGATCTAGCATCACAGAAGGTGAAATTGGAGCTCAGAGATGGACAGATGAACTTCCCCATATGAATCCTTGCATCACAGTCCACTAAATGGCCCAATATTTGGAGTTTCTAACTATCTGTCTGTCCCCAAATCGAATACGGTCTTCCACTGTTCAATAGAAAGATGCTTTTAGGGAAGATGTTTTAGTTATAATGAAGACAGAAATAAACTATTTCTTTGAAGAAATCAAATTAAGCAATAATTATGGATGAAATATTCAAGTTTTAAGATAAGGAAAAGTGGACCTTCTTTGCTTATGAGAGCAAATAAACAAGGAAACACAATTCTACCCAGGATACAGATTGGGAATATTTAGAAGTTTTTGCTTGGTGGCTTTGCTTCTCAGGAAAAGAAGAGAAAGAGATGAGAAATGAACCAAAATGGTGAAAAGACTGGCACACATTAACAATTGTGTTTATGAAAAAGAGTGAGATAGAAGCAGGATACTTAAAATAAAATAAGGGCATTGTAGGAACATAGAAGACTTTTTTTAAACATTACAGATGTCAAATGAATAATATTTAATACAAACAGAATGGTTGAGGTGATGTCTGAAGATGATATCCAGCCACAAAAACTGCTAGAAGGAAACAGTATTTGGGGAATGCAAGACAACAGGGTAGAAGAAGATACAAAATAAACTTGTTCAGAAAGAGCTAAGCAAAAACAGTGCAGCTTTTGAAGGATTACTTTAAAACTCTTTAATTCTAAGTACTGCAAAAAACTTGATTAGCTTTGGGCATCTAATAGCATCAGTGTACTAAACAAGCACTTGGTTTCTAAATATGTGGAACTTGGAAAACTACCAGTGCAGCCTTTATACTTGGATAGATGAATCTAAATACCAGCAATATCTTCCAACTGCAAAGAATCAAGAGATAATTTTCTTACCTCTATTAGTTGTATCCCATCCCATAGGCAGGATCTGCTAATGGCTTGTACAGCACAATGTTTTTCTATCATCACTATGATTTTAGCAGAGAACATAATATTAACTGAGATTGCATATACAGCTTCAGAGCATTAGATTTAGCTAAAGTAAATATTGCTGAGGATTCCAGCTAGGCACTGAGTAAACAAGTATGACTTCTTGGGCAAGACGTTTTGGGTGTAAGTGTCACGTTCTGAGATTTGTTCTATAAAAAGAATTACGCTAGCACATAAGCCAAGCACAGGCATAGTGCTCTTTAATAAGCAAGCCTTTAAAACTTGAGTGAAACTTAGAAGAACTCAAATCATTTGGGATCTTGAATTCTTGCCTCTTAGATTTGTCTGCAGCGAAAGATGAACAAGCTTCACCAGCATGCTTGTCTATTTATTTACATCTGGCCATCATTCTAAAGGCATCTGATACTCTGAGAAATCTTTTTTTCTTTTTTTTTTAACTCAGGAATCATCTTCATATGAAAAAACATTGTAAGGTGAAATGCAATAATCGTTTCAAACTTACTTCCTCTGTCTCTTCTGCTGTGAAGAGCTTGAATTTAATTCTACTATCGCTGGGATAGGGCTGTCAATCAAGCACTCCATCAACAATGTTTGTTAGCCTCAGTCTTTTGGGGAGCTGCAGAAGTCTGAAAGATCTTCAATATGTTTATACTAGCATCTAAATAATGGATAAGCCAGGAAGCACGAAACATGGGAATCTATTGTACCAATCAATGCAACCTGAACTGAATCACTGGACAGTTGTTATTTATTTATGTATCTTTGTAGTTGAAGCCAACCACACAATATAACAGCAAGTTCTACAGCGCATGCCATACTATAAGAATTGCACTTCATACCGTGTCATTATCCTCTGTTTCATAAAAGCACCAGAAGAAGTCTGGTATCCTATATACTGGAGGTTTCTTGCAAACAAGGTAACAGGCAGACCCATAGTCACTGAAATCAGGAAAGAAAAGAAATCGTAGAGAAAGACAATTAACACACAAAAGGATTCAATAGTTTACCCCCTGAAGACTATACAGACAGAACAGGGGAACTGAGCAAAGCAGATATCTGTCTAGAGTTTGACACTACTTGCTTTGAAGTCAATGGAACATTTATAATCTCAGATATACAGTATCATATTTTTATTTAGGGCTAGATTAAGTAGCCGGAAGCTTAAAAGGCACAGAGTCATTCCAGTGATGCATTAAACACTAAAGGAAAAGAAGAGGAAAATATTGCATAATGAAAAAAAATATTGGCACTTGTCCCTGCTGGAGACCATCTTGAAGTCCAGAAAATGGTACACACTGTAGAATGTCAGTAATGATACAAAAGGGAGCATCCAAATGATTTTAAACAGGGCACGTTTCAGAAGAAGTATCTCCATTTTCTTTGTTTCTGTTACAACTTTAATGCTATTTAAGTGTCTTTTTTTTATTGTGTGTTAATAACAGTAATAAAAAAGAAAAAAATTGCAACATACAGCTATTTTACAACAGGCAGATGGTGGCTAGAGATGGGCTGCTCTCCAACTGATCTAATTCTTGCCCAATTTATGATCAAGAAAAGGGATAAACAGTTGTGTTATACTAGTCTGTCATACTATATCATTTCAAAGTTAAGGAATCATAGTGGTTTATCAGATGTAAATAATTGTTTATCACTTTCTATTTGCTGCAGGAACCAGCAGTTTGTTATGAAAAGGAATTTTACAAAATTCATTACACCGAATGGTTGTAGGGCTAACAATGACATCAATATGCCCATATATCAACATGAATGCTTAAGCACCCGAGACAAAAAAAAATCAAATCTTTTCCCTCTTCAAAGGGAAAAACTGCAGTAGGGAAATAAGCTAATTTTAGAATTCCATGTGTTCTAGTGCTGTGAAAACCATTTGAAAAATAGAAAGAGAAAACAATAGAAATATCCATGTTGAACAGGAATGTTAGAGAATGTTTCTGACTGAACCCCAAGATTTTCTCCCAGTCCAATGGATTACTGAACATCTACCTTTGTCTTTTGTAAATGCACCTCGCATTCCTCCAACCAGGTGAATTTGAGATTTTCAATGGAAACATCCCTGACATATGCTCCCACAGTTTTCCCATTCCTGGTTGTGACCAGCATGGTATCCTCCATTTGCCTGGAAGGAAAACATTTATTATCTAAGGAGTTCCCAAAAAATAAGAGTGAGGAAGATGGCAGAAGTCATACTGAAAGATCT